CTTTTTTAGTGTTGTATTGATTGTCATGTTGCTATAAAATTGTATTGTTGGTCATTTTATTATAAAAATGTACTGTTGATTTTTATTTGCGTCTTCTGTACTTTCCGATAGCTAGGACCCTAATAGGGGCTACCGTCCGGGTCAGGGTGGATCTGGTAATAACAGTAGTTGGCAGATGGTTCCATGCTCCTCAAAACCTCTAATCATCCAATCAGATGCCTTACTGCCGGACGCAGTTTATTGTCATACCAAGGACGGAATATGCAAAGAGACTCAAAATTTATGACATTTTATCACATAAAAGTAATTGAAAGTATAAATGAAAAGCACGTAGTCTTAATAAGGGGTACATGATGAATTGAGTTTTAATAATTACGTCACAAATACTGAATAATGATTCATACTGAATAAATTCAAATTTGTAATAATGAAAATAGGCAAGTGATCTCCGTCGATCATTCCTTATGTCAGTTAATTATTAGGTTGGTGCAAAAATAATGACGTAATAATGTCGTTTTTTGACATATTTTTAACGTCAAAAAACGACATTATTACGTCATTATTTTTGCACAAACCTAATAAATAATCAATAAATAAGAGTCATATAGAATCATAAAGTAAGTACATACATTCATTATTACATAAGAAAACACTTATGCATATAATATCAACGCTCTTAGGTTACTATTCCACTTTTTCACTATTTTCGCTTGTCATATCACGAATGATGAATGAATATATAAATACCATCTCCTTTTGCATCTCTATGACAAGTTTAGGACGCGGTTCCCGGATAAATGACAATAATTTGAAAGAGCTAATGTTGGATCCAGGACCTTAAAACACCTTTTCTTATCGACTTGCCAAATATTCAAAGTTTAGAATTCAGCGAAGAAACAGATGGCAACATTGTTCTGCGATGGAAATGATGTCCTCCCCTTGGACCTCAATGCCGCATCGCGAGACAGTTAATACATTCAGATATGAAACACTGAGGGAAACTGTTGCCGAAAAAGGGTGTCATCCTGCTACATGACAAAACCACCATGAACATGGCCAACCTGACAAAAGTGTGTTTCCAGCAATATGATTGGAATATTTTACCGCCTCCATCGGAGAGCCTTGATCGGTTCCTTCAGAACATTATCTGTTTTGGAATTTCAAACGACTCTGATCCAGGAAGAAGTTCCCCACGTAGTTCCGCTGTTGTTGAAGAAATGACAGGTTAACACGCCACGTTCTTCGAGGAAAGTATGCATAGATAGTACAATCATACCACGAGAGAGCATTAAAAAATAAGACATTAAATATGAATGAAATTTTGGAAATAATAATAGGAAATGCAGATAAAGAAGGAGGTGGGCACAGACAGACAGACAGACAGGGGAAGAGAGAAAAAGAGGAAGAGAGGAATAGAGAAAGGGGTTAACATACTTAATTTAATACACACTTATATTGGTGAAATAAGGAGTGACATGCTATGTCAATGGTATGTGTAACAACGATCCCTTAAGAAGACAACGAAAATATGCTGGGTTTTGGTCCTATATATATATATATATATATATATATATATATATATATATATATATATATGAAGATTCCGGCCTTGTGCCACATCTTAGCTACGCTTGGAACATCACTATATATATATGAAGATAAAATTTATCCAAGATTTGAATATTTTTTTTATTATGGATCATCAGAATGTGTATTTGGTATTATACTTCTATGTAAACATAACAAGATATCATCTTTGATGGTGAAAATCTTTGTTCAAATGTCCATATGATCACTCTAATGGTGGTTAGCTTAGATCGAGGAAAAGCATAATAAAAAAATCAAATTTGGGACAATTTTTGTCTTTTATTTTCTCCCGAAATTAAAGCAACTATACGAAGCTTAGAGCGGCACATGATCAAACATAATATACATTCGTTATATATATATATATATATATATATATATATATATATATATATATATATATATATGTCTGAATAATGATCTGCTGTCCTGATACACTACACACACACACACACACACACACACACACACACAGATATATATATATATATACACACACACAGAGTAACTTCGACTCACAAATTTAATTCGTTCCTGAAATTCGTTCGTAACTCAGAAATGTTCATAAGCCGAAACTATTTTTCCAATAAGAATTAATGTAGAGGAAAAAAATCACAGTACAATAAAATTGGAAAAGAAAAGCGCGCGACAAAACCCGAATGTATACAACACGGCGGTCAACTCAGAAATTATTTGCTTCGTGTTAACTCGGTCAGGCTATGTTGTTCGAGAACCAAAATTTCTTTCGATAACTGAGGCATTTTCATCTCGAATTTTCTGTTCGAAAACCTATATCTTTGAAATGTGAGACATTTGAGAATATATATATATATATATATATATATATATATATAGATATATTTTATAACGGACTCCCGAGAGGATGATTCTTCCATCACTTCAATCTTAACCACGTCAAGTGAGGGTTCAACCGTTATCTTGTTCCAGTAAACGGAACAGCCCTTTACTGTGTAACCCTTCCGACTTTTATTAAATGGAAATCAGTAAAAACTAATTTTTCCAAAACCAGTATTCAACAAAAAGTTAACTACGTTACCGTGAAGTCATGTGCGCGTTGACATTTCGGCACACTTTTCAAAATACGGAAAATTTTCAAATAAATTTCCTCCTATTGTTAAATATGGTAACTTCGGCTTCACAGTGATGTGTAGATAGCGTGGTGTCTAGCAATGCGGAAAGTGGATTCGGCGAGCCGAGTTTGAATTTTGTCCAAGGTTGTTGCGTTCATTTCGGTACTAATCCTCTTGAAAAAGGCACGAATCTATATTCTACCCCTATCGATGAGTAAAAAGAAACTTAGATAGGGTTTTGAATCCTCCCGGATAGATCATGTCGAGGAAAGTGTTCTCTGAATTCTAAGCTGTAGAAAAAAAAAAAAAAAGATGAGAAATCATTCTATTATCTTTTATCACATTTTAGACAAAAAATTTTGGAAGCGTCTGCAATTAAACGGGACGATTTCCGCAAACGTTAACTCAAGAAACTGAATTAAGAAAAGGGAAAGCGAGGCGTTGTTTTGCCCAACACCGACAATCACAGCAAAACCAAAACATTAGCCTAAAAATACGAGCTATGATCTGAAATAATCCCTTTAGATCGAAACTTTCATATGGCTATTATGCATTGAGTAAACTTTTATTCGAAAAAATCTAACATGACAGCAGTATGCATCTGTTTTTTCAAACCAATAATCAAAAGTCGATTCAAGCGAATCAAGGCTATATAACTCCGCGAGGATCATCAATCATCGAATCTCGTGGTCTGACGCCAAAAAATGAGGAAACGAATGAAATATACTAGAAAATAGAAATCACATCATTTGAGGACTGTCAGCAGCGGGAATAACTAAAATGGATAGCACATGTAACTCGAAGAGAAGCTAATAACATAAATATGTTGTCTTTGTATACTACTTCAAAGAAACGGTTAGGAAGGAATAAGCGCTAACATATAGGGGACTTGAGGAACCTTTTTTCCTAAAAAATTATTTTAATCGAAAGATTTTATAAATTTCAACCGATATTAGCACTGGCAAATTGGTTAATTAATGCGTAATGTTTCCATATAAGGTAACGGGAAAATATTATCATCATTATATAGAGAAATTTGTATATTTGGTATTTGAAGTTGTAGATTGATTGGTTAGTTTTCTTTTATGGCTTATCAATCTTTTGTCGGTTGTTTCAAGTTGAAAATTATTTTGGATTTTCACAATTCTTGCCGGTGAATAATTTTTTTTTAAAGAATACCAATGATTTGTCTGATGCAAATCTTATTATTTAACCCATACAGGACAGAAGAGATGGATTCATACGTTTCTCAAGAGTATTTGTGCGTAAAGGGAATGCATCGAACCTGAGGAGATTTTCTCATACCGAGCCGCTATCCAATACACCATCCACACTTCCCACTTGATATGAGGAATCCTTGCAAGTATTTTCGTGTCCACGTCTGAAGCTTGCAGTGTGTGGACAAAACTACACGTAGTGTAGTGTACTATATGTTCTATTTCTCTATCAACTTCCCAAAGGTTTCGGATGTAAACGTGAGTTAATACTAGAAAGAGTGATACGTTTTAGGGAACATGAGAAACCGATTTTCCAGAAAAACGGTTTTAAGAGCAATAGTTTATAAATTTAAATCGACTGTTACTATTCTGTCAAGGAATACTGAATATTTCCTTATAAGGGAACGGATAATTAAATTACCATTAATTTAAAGCAGAAGAATTGTATATGGTTGCGCAAAGGTCACTTGAAAAGGGAAATTAGTAATGCCAACTCATGATAATTTTAGAACGGATTAAATCAAATAAAAATAAGTGTAAGAGAGAGAGAGGAATAGCGAAGAACGTTTGTATGGAGACACTGATGATACCGTTGACTGTATAATAAAGACGTGTAGTAAATTAGAACATTTAGAATAAACATATGCACCACTGGCTAAAAACGACAGTCTACTATAAACTGTGTAACTATCTAGGATTTTTTCTTGAACATGAAATTGTATAAGCAGAATCTACCAGAAATAGCTAATTTCGATTGGATTTAACACTGAAAGAAAATCTACCTATCCAAACCCCAAGACCAGATATTGCAAATAGTGACAAGTAAATGTATCAGTTGACATCATCATTTCAACAAGTCACAAAGAGAAACTGAAAGAAACTGTTTTCTAAGAGAAAACCTTTGACAACCATCATATCCTAAGTATATAGTTTTGAACCTTCTCTAACATCATTTTCCAATTTCTTGCGGTTTTCTTTCGGGTAATTTTCGATATTTGAATGTTTCCCAAAATCGGAATGATTTATTAACTGAAAAAATAAACAATTACAAATCATCATTTTCTCATTCACTACTCCGTTTTCTCTAACCCGGTGCCAATCCCAGATTTCAATTCATACAATCAATTGGATTCGTTTCGCTCAGATTTTAACCTTTCTTTCTTTCTTTCTTTCATTTTTTCTTTTTTTCTTTCTTTCTTTCTTTCTTTCTTTCTTTCTTTCTTTCTTTCTTCATTTCTATAGAATCAGGTAGTTTCGTTTCGCACAGACTGTAGCATTTCTTTCATCATTCGATTCTTTTTTTTCTTTATATCTTTCTTTCCTTCTTTTATTCTTTCTTTCTTTTATTCATTCATTTTCTTTCTTTCTATTCATACAACGATTGGATTCGTTTCGCTCAGATTTTAACCCGTCTTCTTTCTTACTTTCTTTGTTTCTTTCTTTCTATACAATCAGCTTCGTTTTATGCAGACTGTAAATTGTCTTTCTTTTTTCATTTCTTTCTTTCTCTCTTTCTTTTCTTTCTTTTCTTTCTTTCTTTATTTTTTCTTCCTTTCTTTTCATATAGTCAAATAGATTCATTTCGCTCACATTTTGACCCTTGTTCATTTGTTTGTTCGGCTGTTTATTTATTTTTCTTAATAGATCCATATATTGTCTATGACCTTTACATCGTTCCTCAGCATGACAACGGATTTAGTTGCATACATTTACGCACACAGACCGTAAAATTATAATTTAATTATTTTAGAGAATTAATAATAATAATAAACATTAATAATGATAATAATAATAATAACAACAACAATCTGCACTGGAAAATCTGCAACTTCTACGGGAAAAAACTGAAAGAAACTTGTATGAACACCACCCAGACCCGGTTACGGAGATAGTGCCTGTTACAATTCTATGGGACTACACAATACACACTGACTCAAAAATCAAAGCCAACCGCCCAGACATTTTTATTAAAGACCACAAACAAAAAAAAAATCTCCTTATTGATATGGCAGTCCCTGCTGACTGCAATGTATCTTTGAAGATCTTCAAAAAGCTGTCAAAATACAAGGACCTTGAAATAGAAATCTCGAAAATGTGGCACATGGGAACATCAACAATCTCTGTTGTAGTTGGAGCCCTAAGAGTGGTTGGAAAAGATTGCAGTAGACTAATCGGAGGGGTTCATGGAACTCCATGCCTCAAAGAGATACAAAAAATTGTTCTGATAAGTACAAACCACACTTTACGAAAGACTTTATCCATGTATTTTTTTTTTATTGATTTTTTTTTTTTTTGGTCTGTGGAAAGTGCCATGATGACATTTCTAACCTTAGGTCCCTGGGCGGGACCCGGAAAGAAATGTGTACACGCCAGAAATCAAAGGAAATAATAATAATAATAATAACAATAATAATAATAATAATAATAATGATAATAATAATAATAGTGATCTGACGAAACCATATCTTGCATATAAGACTATATAGAATGATAGGTCTTGCAAGATATGTTGAATTAACCAATGATTGAATATAAAGGGTGTTTACCGAACTGAATCGAAAAGGAAGCTACATTCAATTATCAAAGAAAATCAAAAATTCAAATAAGATTTACTGTACAAGTAAAAAAGACACAGCCAAAAGCATCAAACAAAAAGGAAACAAAGAAGGATCTAACTAACCTGAAACCTATGTATGTCGAAAAAAAACCTTTCATGGCTGATACTCAATACTAAAGCAAGACACTGATGTTGACAAATCCTCGGCAATCGATCAGTGGTTGCTGCGTTGTTGGAAACAGAAACTAAGAGATTCATTTGAGCTGCTTAAGATACAACTTGCTAATAAGATCCTACCAGGCAAATATTAAAAATTAATGGGTCTGATTCCAAATATATCTTTTGAATCAACTATTGACGTTCTTATATCTGCATGCTCAGTGCAAACCCCAAATGTATTTAAATAAATAATGGGATAGGGAGCTACATGTATTGGAAAATATGCCAACATTATAAGCTTCTCCATACAGAAAAATGATATGAACATTAAGCAGCATATTATGATAATGTTACGGTGATCTGAGACCTCATATATAATGTGCGTATGATTCATGTCAATAAAGTAGATATAATAATAATAATAATAATAATAATAATAATAATAATATAATAATAATAATAATAATAATAATAATAATGCTGATAATAATGCTAGCGGGAAGGAAAATGAAAGAAACTGGTATGAACACCACCCAGACCCTGTTACAATTCTATGGAACTATACAATACACACTGACAGAACAATCAAAGCCAACCGCCCAAACATTGTTATTAAAGACCACAAACAAAAAGAAGTGCCTCCTTATTGATATGGCAGTCCCTGCTGACTGCAATGTATCTTTGAAGATCTTCAAAAAGCTGTCAAAATACAAGGACCTTGAAATAGAAATCTCAAAAATGTGGCACATGGGAATATCAACAATCCCTGTTGTAGTAGGAGTCCTAGGATTGGTCGGAAAAGATTCCAATAGACTAATTGAAGGGATTCCTGGAAGCCCATGCCTCAAAGAAATACAAAAAAATTGTTCTCACAAGTACAGCCCACACTTTATGAAGGGTTTTATGCATGTAAAATGATTTTTTTTGTCAGTGGAAAGTGTCATGATGTCATTTCTAAACTTAGGTCCCTGAGCGGGACCCGGAAAGAAATGTGTAAACGCCAGAAATCAAAGGAAACAACATCAACAACGACAATAATAATAATAATAATAATAATAATAATAATAATAATAATAAACTTAAAATAAAAATCCAACACACGAACTATCTTTTAGAATACGTCTTTCGCTATTTCAATTCGTGCCTGGATCTCGTTTTCGCATTTCCCAGCCTCTGTTAAAACGCTTTCCAAATATTTAATCTTCTGCGCCTGCATGATGTTGACATCTCCAATTTTTAACTTGCATCTAGGTTTTTTTTTCTCTTGCTGATGACCATACTTTCTTATTGATAGTTCACTCAATACAAAGCCCAAGAGACTCTCGTTGTAGAGGGTTGCTGGGTGAGGTTGTTATAAAGGGGTACAAAGAAGAGCAAGTAGGATAGATATAGGGTGACACTGAACCAAGAGTGAAATTTTTAGAGAAGCATTCTCTCAGGAGTTTTTTTTTTCAACCCATTAAGTTCTGTCGAGGAAGTTGTCTGAGGGGAATTTGCGTTTTATCAAAGTAAAACGAAAAGAATGGGGATGATTTGGCGACGTGAACACGCCAGAGCCGGTCCTAGCCGTGAAAGTCTGAGATGGTGGAACTAAATGATGTAGCTCGTTCGAACATCTGCCCCAGTAAATACTAGATACAGTAGAGAAGGGCTGGTGGCATTTCGTCTGTGGGATAAGATCGCTTATGCACTTTTGAGGATTGGTTAGCACTAGCCCAGATATGTCAGGAAAATGAATCGACCAATCTTCCAGCATCCTTTGCCATGGCACTAGGAAACGCGTACCATTTGAGGTCGGGTGTGAGCTATAGTCCCAGTAAGCGTTCGAGGTAAGAAGCCTCTTTGAGTTTATGATCGCTCATCAAGATTGGTGCAGGTTTACGGATTTTCTTCTGTGTCTGATTTTCGCTTCGTTGGAACTGTTTTCTCTTCTACTTAACAGAAATCATTTCTTTTTATTTTATAACTAGTTTAGAAAGCGCACTCCACTCGATTTTTTAAGCTGTTCCTGCGAAGGGCTAATTGAACCTCTGGTCCACAACTATAGGGCCATCTGGTTCAGCTTAGAAAATGAAGATTTTGAAGAAATCACTTTGAGTTCGTCAATTCACTCCATGGAAGTTTAAAATCTCACTTTAAGTCTGATTCAGGCTATAAGTACAAAAATAAAATCAAGTTGGGTTGAAAGTTCGATTTGAGCCGAAAGTTCGATTTGGGTGTAAAGTTCGATTTGGGCCGAAATTACAATTCAGGCCAAAAATTGAATTCTTCAAATCACAAACTTCCAAACCTACGCCAAGGAACCTAGCGATGAAACTCGGACTCATTGGCATTTTGAAAAAATAAAATGCATTTTCTTAATTCACAAAGTTTCGGGGGTATTTTAAACTGAATTTAAAACAATGATTTTTAAATTCACTATGTTTTGCTTTTACTTATAACTCAATTTAAATTAAAGTCACTAATTTTTTTTCAGTTATTTAAAAATCTGAATTTTTAATTGTTCCCTCCTCAACTAAACACAAATCCCAATGCCGGATGTTAAAACACCAAATGAAGGGCATATATTTAATCCCGGGATCACCCTGATTGATAAAAGGTATGATATGCCTATGCTGAGCAAACGTGGCCTGAGTTTGAGGGATTTTAGACACCCGGACGAACACAAAGAATTTGCCGTTCTGGTTCCCAGATTTCATGAATTTAAGCGTTCTACTAGGCTGGTATCTCGCTCACACCCTTTCACTGTCGAAACCGTTAAATGTTGCTGTCTCTTCTACTCCAATAGTTTCATGACTTGCACCTCTCGCCTGTGCAACTTTCTCGCCTTTTCCTGTTTCCCTGATAGATATAATCTCCAACTATTCAAATGTAATGTCAACAGATGCCTTGATTTATCCCCTCTCCTTCTCTTCATCCTTTCCATTATCACTCCTATTTTGGACTCACTCCAATTCTCTGTAACCCCTTGCGTGCTAGTGGCTTCCCGCCTTGCTTGGGATGAAACGCTTAAAAAATATAATACAAAGTCTCTTTATTGTTTTCAATGATATTTCTACAGTTACCATTCTACGTATATTTGCACGATTAAAATGATATTATTAATAAAAACGAAACCCTTATATTATTAGTTGATAAAAAAAAAACCCTGTTTCTACTTTACATAAATGGTCTCTTAGTGTACACTCCGATCACTTGTGTACTGATACAACAATATATGGTTGCACCTCCAAAACTCTAGGCGACCAGAGATTGACAGGTAATTTCTCATGTATACTAGTTCTATTATATCAGTGGAAATATGACTGGTTACATTTAATGCCTCGAAAACCAAACTAGTTACATTCCATATATCACAAATCACGATGAATGGATGCTCTCTCAGGGAGAATTCGTGCCTTGAGCTCTTATTGGAACCTAATCTCAACTAAGATGTCGTTGAACTCGTATGCACGATCCATGGCTAAAGATGCTGGAAAAATGGTTGGTTTCTGCAGCGTTCCAATAAGTAGCTGTCTCTTCGTGCTGTCCTTTACAAGCGCCAGATCAGGCCTAAGATGGAGTACAACTGCCATATATAGACCGAAGCTACCCAGTCTTTACTTTCCAGTCTCGATAGTGTACAAAAGTGTATCTGCGTCATTGGGGGTGACAAATTATTTTCCACCTACAACCTCTTTCTCATAAATGAAATGTCGCAAGCCTGTCACTGCTATATCGCTATTTACATGGAAAGTGCTCAGACGAGCTACATTCCTTAGTTGCATCAGTTCTAACATTCGCACCAAAGACCACTCATGCTCCGCACATTATAGCAAACCACCTTCATTTCCTTCGTATTCCATGGAAGTTCTAATCGAGCAGATTCTTCTAACGAAGCTTTGTGGAACCGACTCACAAGAGGAGGCTTTCCCGGTCATTGCAATCTTAATCTGTTCAAGTCAAGGGTTAGCTTTTATCTTTACCATATCACCGAGAAACTGTGCCTCTTAATCTGTCACCCTCTACACAAAGTTACTCTCGGGCCTTGTACTGTGTAAACATCGCTATAAAAAAAAAGTTCAGTTTGATACTGTGTCTTTTACTGCATCTTGGCATTTACATCGATTTTTATAATCATAATCATGGCTTATTAACCGTCTGGAGAATTAATAATAAGACTAAGATAATTATCGAAAGAACATAATTCACCATCTCATCCCTGGATGCCAATAAATATACTGACTCGTTGTCACGCATTTTGGATAGCATCTGTGGTTAATATTGTTGTCTGCCGAACTGTTGTAATCAGGAATCTATTGATGGTAATCCCTCTTCTGAATTGAAAACCTTTCAAAGATATATCGTGATTCTTAATTCTGTCATGAACAAGAGACCATCGTTCGACATATCGGATGTCCTTTTGCACAGATCGTCTTTTATTGCAATTCTTATTATTAGATAACGTGTTCCTTTCCATTACTATTGTATTTTAATACATTTGTTTTCACTCAATGTCTTATATATATATATATATATATATATATATATATATATATATATGTTATAGCGTCATTGAGTGCCTCGCTGTGAATCAGTATTTACAACGTCAATCATTTTGACTGTATAACGTTCGTCCCTGGGTGACCCATAGTTACATCAAGCAAGCATTGATAAGTAGCGTGTATCTAATATATCCCGATTGTTCACACACTAGTTGAATTTTCAGTGAGTACCCATTTTCTATGGCCTTGTGTCAAGTTAAACGTATAAAATTGCTATGATTCGTGCAATATATATAAGTAATGGTAATGAACATTTTAGTATTGTTGGCTTTGAAAATTTAATCATTACGTGACATACTGAAGGCAAGAGAGACAGAGTGAAACGGAGATTTATCGACGTAATGAGCTTCTGTTATAGAATGTCAGGACAGTGACTGACAAGGATAATAAAAAGGCAAATATTGCTATGGTACCAAAGTATATATGTGGAGAACCATTGGTCACGCTCGTTCTCAAGAAGAAATAGAAAAGAATGAAAGGATGAAGAGAAGGAGGAAGAAGAGGAGGAGGAAGGAAGAAGAGGGGAAGGAGATAGGAAGGATAGGAAGGAGGAATAGAAGGAAGAATGAAAGAAGAAGAAGAAGAGGAGGGAAGGAGATAGGAAGGAAGGAATGAAAGAAGAAAGAAGAGGAGGGGAAGGAGATAGGAAGGAAGGAATGAAAAGAAGAAGGGAATAGGAAGGAAGGAATGAAAGAATTAGTAGGAAGGGGGAAGGAGATGGGAAGGATAGGAAGGAAGGAATGAAAGAAGAAGAAGAAGAAGAGGAGGGAAAGAAGAAGGAGATAGGAAGGAAGGAATGAAAGAAGAAAAGAAGAAATAGGAAGGAAGTGGATGAAAAATAGGAAGGAAGGAATGAAGGAATAGGAAGGAAGGAATGAAAGAAAAGAAGAAGAAGAGGAGGGGAAGGAATAGGAAGGAAGGAATGAAGAAGAAGAAGAAGGAAGGAATGAAATAGGAAGAAGAATGAAAGAAAGAAGAAAAAGAAGAAGAAGGAGATAGGAAGGAAGGAATGAAAGAAGAAGAAGAAGAGGAGGGGAAGGAGATAGGAAGGAAGGAATGAAAGAAGAAGAAGAAGAGGAGGGGAAGGAGATAGGAAGGAAGGAATGAAAGAAGAAGAAGAAGAGGGAAGGGAATGAAAGAAGAAGAAGAAGGAGATAGGAAGGAAGAGGAAGGAAATGAAAGAAGAAGAAGAAGAAGAGGAGGGAAGGAGATAGGAAGGAAGGAATGAAAGAAGAAGAAAAGAAGAAGGAGGAAGGAGATAGGGAAGGAAGGAATGAAAAGGAAGAAGAGGAGGAAGAAGGAATAGGAAGAAGGAATGAAAAAGAAGAAGAGGAGGGGAGGAGATAGGAAGGAAGGAATGAAAGAAGAAGAAGAAGAAGGGGAGGGGAAGGAGATAGGAAGGAAGGAAGGAAGGAATGAAAAGAAGAAGAAGAAGAAGAAGAGGAAGGGAAGGAATGGGAAAGGAGATAAGGGAAGGAAGGAATGAAAGAAGAAGAAGAAGAAGAGGGGGGAAGGAGATAGGAAGGAAGGAATGAAAGAAGAAGAAGAGGAAAAGGGAAGGAGAAAGGAAGGAATGAAAAGAAGAAGAATGAAAAAGGAGAAGGAAGGAAGGAATGAAAGAAAAAGAAGAAGATAGGAAGGAAGGAATGAAAAGAAGAAGAAAGAAAGATAGGAAGGAAGAATGAAAGAAGAAGGAAGAAGGGGAGAAGATAGGAAGGAAGGAATGAAAGAAGAAGAAGAAGGAGAAGAAGAGGAAGGGGAAGGAGATAGGAAGGAAGGAATGAAAAGAAGAAGAAGAGGAAGGGAAAGGAAGGAAGATAGGGAAGGAAGGAATGAAGAAGAAGGAAGGAAAAGAAGAAGAAGAGGAGGGGGAAGGAGATAGGAAGGAAGGAAATGAAAGAAGAGGAAAGGAGAGAAGGAAGGAAGAAAGAAGAAGAAGAAGAAGAAGAGGAGGGGAAGGAGATAGGAAGGAAGGAATGAAAGAAGAAGAAGAAGAAAATAGAAGGAATGATGAAGAAGAAGAAGAAGAAGAGGAGGGGAAGGAAGATAGGAAGGAAGGAAAAAAAAGAAGAAAAAGAAGAAAGGGAAGAGATTTATCTAAAGGAAGGAATGAAAAAAAGAAAGAAGAAGGAGGGAGGGGAAGGAATAGGAAGGAAGGAATGAAGAAGAAGAAAGAAGAGGGAGGGGAAGGAGATAACAAGGAATGAAAGAAGAAGAGGAGGGGAAGGAGATAGGAAGGAAGGAATGAAAGAAGAAGAAGAGGAGGGGAAGGAGATAGGAAGGAAGGAATGAAAGAAGAAGAAGAAGAAGAAGAGGAGGGGAAGGAGATAGGAAGGAAGGAATGAAAGAAGAAGAAGAAGAAGAAGAAGAAGAAGAAGAAGAAGAAACTCGTCATTTATCTAATCTGTAACATGGCTGACCGGATTTATCAATAATATATTAAGTAAATGAATATAACACATTCTGTTTATAATGTAATTGTTTAAAATCATGACTTAATTAAGAAAATCAAGCCAATGAACACATGCTTATTTATTAGACTCAGAATAAGGTCTTAACGTAAAAATCTCTTTATTAATGTGGCTCGACATCATTTGTGTTATATGGATTTATCGTTCATAGTAAGAGTTACCGTTTGTAAACGTTTGGTGTAAGTCTATAATTCCTCTGTTATTATTAATTACAAGACAAGAAAAAATATTTTCTCCTCTCTATATTTTTTTCTATTTTTTCTAATATTTTTCTTTGCTTTAACCCTACTAACGCTTGGGAATGCCAAGTGTTCTAAGCTTGGATATGCCGATGGTGTAATCGCGCACCATTGTTAATCAGAGAGCAAAGTTCCGTCTCCGGTTTGTCTCGTAATATTCACCTATGGGAAAATACACTTGGGAAAGGTATGAATTCATCTCTTCTCCTCCCCAGCTATGGATTAATTAGTAAGACGGGTATCACAAAAGCGTTATTATCTAAAAACAAATCCATACTCTCTAATATTTTCTAGCGTTAAATAACCAGCACAGGGTTAATAAGCCGTAGAAAACAAATCAATCAATCAATAAAAAATATAGGAAGTCAATAAAAAACGAACATTGATTAAATTAATGTAATCATTTGATTCATTTGATTCGACGAAAAAATGAGAGGTAGTCAATAAAAAACGAACATGTTCAATATAAAAACAGTGTAAGTACATATATTAATTATAAAATTAATGTAATCATTTGATTCATTTTCATCAATTATAGTTTCTCGTGTTTAAATTTGTTCCTTTTCAACAACGTTCTCTGTTTAGTTCTGATCAAAAGAAGGAAAGTATTGCCTGATTATTAAGTTGTTTCAGGAAAGTGGAAGTCGTTATTCCAATCGATTGGACAATGAAAATTATCGACGAAAAAATGAGAGGTAGAATTAAATGACTTCAAGACTTGAATTTTGCCTCTTCTCACTCGGATTTCTTTGCGTTGCATTCGCGTCTCCTTCGGCTGATTGTGGGTATTCAGAAAATAAAGTTACAAGTGGAAAAGCAATTGTATGTATCATTTTCGTGGTCTTTTGCATTATTGTTGTTGGTTGCACAAATAATGGGCAATTCTTTTAGTGCTACGATTATAGAAATAAATCGGCTTTTATTTTGAGGACTGCTCTCCAGCCAGCCAGTCACTATTTACAAATCTACAGAGGATTTACTCTTGTGAGCAAGTGACAGCTATTCTCCGAAGTAACGCCATATTTATCTTTGTGTTCCGGCTTTGTTAGACCCTCTTGACTTGCAGAATTTCAAAATTCCCACAGTAACAACTATCAGTTAATAATGTTATTTTTACAGCTAGAGACGTATGCAATACTTAGTTCAAGCCCGAGTTAATATCAAAAACTTAGATGTATTTTCTACGTACTATTATATTTTTTATTATCGTGTAATTTATAATGTTTTAAATTGATGATTCTGTGCAAAAATAAAATCCTTAAGAAATACTTTTAATATACTTATAAGTTATTATAAACAATAAACAGATGTAAATGTCACATAAATTTGAATTATATAAAAGTTTAATGCTATTCCTCTGAAATTATTTGGCATTTATTAACTTTTAATGACTACTGGTCTGTAAAATCATCTCTTTTACAGATTACGGCCGCATCACAGTGAAACAGCGGTTGTCCGATCATGTAAGTTAAGCAACTTTGATTCTGATCAGTATTTAGATAGGTTACGAGTTGGGAGAACATGGTGCTGTATTCTCCTACCAATACGCGTTGGTGTGATATGGTAATGGCATTTCCAAATTTCCAGGAACTGGTTCTATAAAGGCAGGTAATCATTAAGAACCGTTTCTGATTATTTTCTTTTCAATCTCTAAATAGAAACAATTCACTTTATCTTAAAAAAAAGTTATTAGAATTTAAAAGCAAATATTTAATTATTAAGATATCTCCGGACTGAAATTCTGTTATGTAATCGGTTCAGAAGTATGCTGATTTTTGACTCTAAAGTGTTCTAACAGAAAACAAAAAGTGCGACACTGAGATCCGAAGAAGTATTGGGATGGCCAAAGACGTTTTCTAAAAGCTGAGCATAGTATTAAGAGACAGGAAATTTTCGTTGGAAACAAAGAAAAGAGTACTGAACTGTTATGTGATAGAAATTTTACAAGCGTACCTTAGATGTGGCACAAGGCCGAAAGTAATGCGCACACAGTGAGGATCGAACTCACTACTCAGTTGCAATGGTTCTATTGAGACAAACTTGCTAACCATTACATCACGCCGAGGTGTCCATAGTGATTTTCCAAGCGTAGCTTAGATGTGACACAAGGCCGAAAGAATGGGGCACCCATTGAGGATCGAACTCAGTACTCAGTCGTAATTGTTCTAGCGAGATAAGCTTGCTAACCATTATACCGCCTCGAGGTGCCCAGTGTTTTTTAAGCGTAGTTTAGATGTGGCACAAGGTCGAAATTATGGGGCACCCAGTGAGGATCGAACTCACACCTCAGTCGTAATTGTTGTAGCGAGATAAGCTTGCTTATCCATTACACCGACTCGAGGTACCCAGTGTTTTTCTAAGCGTAGCTTAGATGTGGCACAAGGCCGAAAGTATGGGGTACCCAGTGAGGATTGTACTCACGACTCAGTCGTAATTGTTCAAGCTTGCTAACCTTTACACCGCCTTGGGGTGCCCATGAACTGTTATGTGACGTATGTCCTCCTGTAGGGCAGCAAATGCTGGACCATCTCCTCAAAGACGAAGAGAATCGAAGCAGCAGAAATGTGTTTCTACAAAAGTATGCTAATGATACCATGATCCGAATATGTGAGCAACGATGAGGTTTTGGATAGAAGGGAAACAACGAGGAAACTTAACATCAGGAAGAGGCAGTTGAAAATTCTGAGATACGTAATGAGAAAGAAGAGCTTGGAAAATACGATACTCACAGGATGGATAGAGAAAAAGAGGGACAAGGGAGAACAACGCGTTACATACTGATATGTTCCGGAAAGGGATATATTTGAACGAAGTAGCTAAGTGGTTTTGGCTACTATAACCAAGTAGAATACGGTAGCAGTAATCGACTGGTACGCGTCGTAGTCGCAGGTAAGAAGTGTAGATCAATGGCGTAGTCCAATGGGCGTCGTTATAGACTTAGCTCTCAGACTAAGGCTCTTGACTTTTCTGACTCTCCTACACGTCCGTCGGTATTTATGACGGGCACCAGCCAATCACACTCCAGTGAGGGGGAACACAGGTGTACGCATATTCCATTATATCACATATATAATCAGATTGAGCATTTAGAAAGCAGAAAACGGTCTGGGAAAAATAACAATAAGACAAAAGCTACAATGAACAGTAGGAGGTTGAGAGCCATTATAGCCTATGTCCTGAAGCACATACAAGATTAAGATGTCATCAGCTGTATTATGCTTGCTTAGCTACATTCGAACTGAATCGCTGCAGTCCCAAAGATCCACTGAAGGATCTATCAAATTTAGGACTAAAAGATCTGCCACATTTTTAACATTATAAAGATTTTTTGTCAGAATGAATTATGTTTAACCCAGAAAACCCTCTTTCAGCCTCCGCATAGATTACAACTATTGTATTAATTATATTTTCAGGTATTATATATAGGCTATTAATATATAAGATTATTTTCAGATAATCTAACAACCATTCGCTAAGCTTTTATAATCTTAAGAATCGGTTCGCACGGACCTGCACGGACAGGTAGTATGAGATTACCGGTAATGGCCCATTCGGCACTATGAACGACAAAGATGGCAAAGGTTTGGCACAGGTCTACGACGAACTCCTCGATTATTCTTATTAAAAACGGCATTGTTTAGTTCCAGGCAAATTGTTCAAGGAAGACTTCTAAAGAAACTAGAAGCGACAAAGTTTGGTTTTTATTAAGAACTGTGGTTTTATCAAGAACCTGTAAAAAAGGGCTTCGTCCCTAATGTCATTATTGTTGACATGGTTGATACATTAGGGGGTGATTCTCCAGCGTTATCAACAGTTCAAAATTTAGGAGAAGAAGAGAGAGTGTTGAAGATGATTCGAGGTCTGGAAGTCCTACAACTGCCACCAGAGAGGAAAACATTGATCGTTTTCAACACATGGTGATCTATGACGGGTGATTGAGAATAAATCAAATAGACACTGCTTTTAATGAATCCTGTGAGGGAATTGGGAATGTTCTGCGCAATGAACTTGGCAAAACGAAGGTTTCTCCTCGGTGGGCGTCAAGTTTTCTAACAACTGTTCAAAAGTGCACCAAACTGATCACCCCAGGGGAAAATCAGACATTGTTTGGGCACATCCAAATAGTTTTTTTAATGTTTCCTAATCGAGGATGAATGTCGGGTTCAACACTTTGAGCTTGAGAAAAAGAGACAATCTATGTTGTATAAACCACGCATTTGCTCTAAAGAAAGCCAAGAACGTTTCATCTGCATGGAAGGTGACGACCTCAATTTTTTGGAAACAAAAAAGCATTAAGTTTATTTATCTTCAAAACGGCCACACCATCAATGGAGAGAGCTATGCCAACTTGCTGAGGCAGTTACAAAAAAAAAATCTATCAAGACCAAACCCCCATGAAAACTGACAAAATGACTCTTGTTTCATCAAAACAATGCCCCAGCACACAACTGCTTACTGACCAACATTTTTCTGAATTGTCCAGAAATACTTCGCTGGTAACTAATATCGCAGTGATGATGACTTCTTATCTGCTGATGATGACTTTTTTGACCAAAAGGATGACCACGCTTCTTTGAAGAGTCAGATGTCAGTTTAGATGGAAGGAATCCATGTAGTTACTAATCAGAGGAGTTAAAATTAAGGCATGCAAGATTCCACAGCTCAAGCATCCCTCCATTATAGTT